TAAAGGTATGGTGTCCAACTACAACTAAAATTTAAAAAAAAAAAGGGATAGAAAAATATCTTGTCATAATGATGCCACTAAATTCTTGTACTCCTTCAAAGTTGTATGCTGAGTCATAAATTGATCTATTACCAAATTATTTTTATAGTCTGTTATTAACAATTCAAGCTTTTTTTCCATTTTGTTAAAAGCAAAGAACTGAAAACTACTCCTGTTGGGTGTGTAGTAGCACATAAACGTGGAGGCAGAATTTTAAACTCAAGGCTAGCCTCAGTAACTAATGTAACCCAGTCTCGAATTAAATTAAAAATAGTTGGGGATGTAGCTCAGTGGTAGAGCATTTGGTTAGCATGCACAAGGCGCTGGGTTCAAATACCTATACAAGAGGGAAAATAAGAAAACCACTCTCATTGAAGACCCCATTTTTTCAAGTAATGCTCAATTTCTTGGGAAGTTATCCAAAAGGCTTTACCATGACTTATCTATAAGTCTTTAAGAGTCATCTTGCTTGTGGTACTTAAAACTAGAACAGAATAAAAGCACCATCATAACATAGGAAATTACACAAATTTCCTAGAGATAACTATACACACTAGAGATTTTATGACTGATAATTTAAGAGAACAGAATATATGTATTTGATAAGTAAAGCTGATTTTCTAGTTGGACACACTATGTCCTAAACTATATTTTGGAGACATTCTCTCCTATCTTTTCAGTGTATATGGTACCTCATCAAACTAAAGACAATTTTATTATCTCAGAAATTGACATGTATCTTAAAATCAATAGCATAAGTTTAACTGGCAGTGTGTTTACTAACTAGCATTGTTAGGATTTGGATATGAGGTGTCCTGTGTTAATTCAAGAATATTCATAGGTAAAATATTGGACTGAGAGCTGTAACCTAATCAGTCCATACTAGTTTGAATGAATTAATTGGGTGGTTAATTGCATGCACGTGGAGCATGGCTGGAGGACCTGGCTCACTGGGGGCATGCCCTAGAAGGGTTCATCTTCCCTGTGTCCCCTTCCCCTTTTTGCTTTCCAGATAGCATGAATGCAGCACTCCTCCATCATACCCTTCCACCATGATGTTCTGCCTCATCTTGGGCCCAGAGTAATGGAGCCAGCCCACTATGGATGGAATCTCAGTAACTGTCAGTTAAAATAAACTTTCCCTCTTCTAAGTTGTTCTTTTTGAGTATTTTGGTCACAGAGATGAAAAACTGATATACATTAGTGAATATATATAAAATATATATAAAATAATCAATCTTATAATAGTCTTAGGTGAAAAATTTTAGAAATTAAGAACAAAAATGTGGAATGATATTGGCCAAGTTACACTGTGTGCCATGTACAAACATGTAACAACAAATCCACCATTGTGTGCAAGGATAATACATCAATAAAAACTATGGGGGAAAGAAAGAAAAAGTCACTAGTAAGTTTAGGTCTTATATGAGGTATACTGATAACTACCATGTGTCTTCTAGTAAAAACCACAAAGTATTTGTTAATTTAAACCTAAATACCTAGTAGGAATGAAAAAGCAGAGAAATGACTGTCAATAGCAGGATACGAGCCTACATAAAACAATTATGGACACTAACAGTGTACTGACAAAGGTTAATGAAAATGTTTCTTTAAAATATGTTCCAGAAAGTATAAAATTACAAACTTACCTCTAAAACATGTTCTTTTAACATGAAGATGTAATGTTAGTATGACACAAGTAAACATGGAACTTTTCTTCCTCCTTGAAATCATGCAAATTATGCTGAGACAGGGATTGAGATACATTTATCAGGCTCTTTATCATGATTGAAAATGGTAGAAATACCGAAAGCCTGCTATACAGCAGATCAACCAAAACCAATCATGCTTTTATACAAGATTCAAATATTCTAATTCTTAGATGAAGCAGTCTTACCATTTGCTTGTTGTCTATAAAGAAGGTATTTTTGCTTTCATGTATGTTCATGCTCTTAGCTTTCTTTTCCCACAGTTCACCCGCAGAATTTTTTTTTTTTTTTTAATAGTCAGGAGATAAAAAGGCATTGTCAACAGTCATCTCCTTACTTGACAGTATTTAAAAAAAAATATTTGTTTTGGTTTGTTTTTTTAGTGGTAGGTGGAAACAATAACCTTTATTTTTAAGTGGCGCTGAAGATTGAACCCAGTGCCCCATGCATGCTAGGCAAGCACTCCACCACTGAGCCACAACCCCAGTCCCACTTAACAGTACTTCTGAATTCTGAAGATTTCCACATGGAATTAATGTAACCCATTTCTAACACATATTTTGCTTTTTAGGGTTGTCAGAAAGGTCTGCTTAGGGTAAAGGGAAGGGATACATCTTGATGGGGTAATGGCAAGGTTCTGGAAGAATATGGGGAAATTTGAATACTGTTGGGGTAATTTTTGAGAAAAACAATATGGTACAGCTATTTTTACTTTTAAGTTGTAGACAGACACAATACCTTTCATTTTATTTATTTTTATGTCGTGCTAAGGATCGAACCCAGGGTCTCACATGTGCTAGGTGAGTGCTTTACACTGAGCTAGGACCCTAGCCCACTACAGATTTATTTTATGAAATGGGAAAGGATGAAAAGTGGAACTGGTATTATCCCTTTACCATGGGCATATTCTTAGGTAGATCTTTTTCTAACAAATACATCATATGGGAATTGAGGATCTGAATTTGGATTCTGTTAAAACTATCCATGCCTGCGTATTCCTTGGAAAGTAAAATACTCCCAGGAGTATGCATACCCTTGTTTGAAGACCCTCTCTGCGGTTTACATTGTCACCATTCTTTAATTATCTGAATTCCTAAGAAGCACACTCAAGGATTTTTTTCAAAAAAGATGCTCAGCAATTCTATGAAGAATTTTAAAATGTGTATTCTGGAATATTAAATATCCAATCACTTTCTATTTTAAAGAATGATCAATTCCTTTCACTCAGCTAAACAAAGAATAGAAAATAACAAAATGACCAATGCCATAAGAACTTTGATTAGAGAATACAGTAATGATGGTGTACATACATTAAAATGTTCTCTTAAAAAAGTCAGACAAGGCCAGATCTCTGTAAGTAAATACTGGTAACTTGGCAAGAAAGAAATTTTTTAATATATTTCACTTATAAAAGTACAGTAGTGAAATAAAACGCACAAAAACCATTAGAAGAGTTACATCTGAATGTCTTCCAAATATTGTATGAATACATTCACATAAAATTGTTCCTAATTTCCTTTTCTTTTTTTGAGACAGTCTAGATAAATTGATCATGCTGGCTTCAATTTTGTGATCCTCTTGCCTCAGCCCCCTGAACAGATGGGATTATAGGCACCTGCCACCATACCTGGCTTCCAAACTTTTTTTTTTTGCCAATTATCCCAACAATCTCTAGAGACTAATAATTATTTCCAACTGTCATTTCCTTAAGATATTTCTTACCTATTAAGTTCAATAAAAGCTATTTACAAAAGCATCCTATTTTTGTAGAGAATCAGTAATTTTATATAGTATAAGTTCACCATACATCATGACCTCAACATGGAAAGATGTTAGAGAATAAGGGCTTTTAAAATGCTGAGTGTAATTACTAATCTGTTCCTTTTATATACATGGGAATAGGCAGATAAATATCATAGTTATAATTAGAATTTCTATATTTACCCATCAGATATTTATAGCCTACAAGTTTTTTTTTTTAAAGAGTATATATTTTTAAATACATTTTATTTTTTAAATTTATTTTTATGTGGTGCTGAGGATCAAACCCAGGGCTTCCCATATGAGAGGCAAGCACTCTACTGCTGAGCCACAACCCCAGCCCCTAGAGCCTACAAGTTTTATAGGCACTATTCTAAAAACTGAGGACACAGGGATAAATGAGTGCTTACTATGTGCCAGGCCCTGGCCAAAGAGTTTCACACATATGAACCTATTTAATCCTCAAACACAACACCTCTGACAGATACTGTAAATTTCCTCATTTTACATATGAGAAAATTAAGGCACTGAGAAGTAAACTCATCCAGCTAATAATTGGTAGAAAGAGAATTTCCAAAGTGCTGGCTCTCCTGGAACTATAATTAATCTAAAATCCTTCCATTCTGTTTTGTCCCTATGAGACATCCAATGAACTGAACATAACTGGGTATGGCTCAAACATTTCATTCTTAGATTTTTTTTTTGGGGGGGGGGACAAAATTTTAACTAGCTCTCTAGTTTGTGCCTTCAAAACATCTAAAAAGATTTCATTGCACATTGTAAGGCTTAACTTTGTTTTTCATAATTGAGGAAATATTCATTTTTTTACTTCCATTGTTATAGATACACACACATAGCTTTCCTTTCTTTAGGAAACCATTTCTCTACTCCAGTAGGCTCAATGGGGCTAAAGATCACAGAACTGTCTTCCAATATCGGGTTGGATCTGTTATTCAAGCTCAAGGGCCTTATTGCAATGGTCAAACTTAATTGGCTTAAGAATACAAAACATGTCTGAGCATGGCTTCTTCAAGACTGATGGAATTAAGAGATGCTCTTTTTGTGATGGAAGTTATTTGGGTTTGATGGTAAATATCTTCTTTGGTCTCAAAAGTAAATGACTATAGTGATAAGAGATAGAAATTCAGATGAAATACATTGATCTACCTATGCATGAATATCCTTGTCTTTTCTGGTTTAATAGTATAAACTTATTCTAAGTGGGGTTCTGTGATTTGAAATCAAGTTTCAAAGTGTTTCAACAGAAGCATTAAATAAAATATGCATGTAGAAATAGAACTTTGCTATTTGCTTCCTTTTTAGGAATATAGAACTGTCTATAGCTAAAAGAATAGACATGAGATAGAAATAGTTTATCTATTTCATTTTAAAAAACAATTTGCAAAACATTTACCTATAAATTCTAAGTGATTACAAAGCATTATTTTAGTTATTCTACTTCTTTATCATACCACAAAACCACAATATAGCTAGAAAGACAAAATGTTTTATTTTAAAACATTAGAAAAACATTTAAAAGACAAATGTCCATTATATAACCAGGAATGTTAAATATATTGAAATTGTAAGTCTAAATGTGATAGGCACTTTCAGAGAACTAAATACTGAAAATTATCCTACATTCTTCTCTAATAACAACACTTGATATAATGAAAAATATCAAGACCCTACTAATTATTCAAAATCAACATCTTTGGGTTCAACTTATTTTCACAAGTAAAAGTTTTGTCCAAGATGTTCCTGACACATGAAGCTTCCAGTTGAATTTCAGAAATGTTAACAAAAGTATCTTCCTTTTTTGCCTGTGAATGTTTGAGTATTGCTGTATTGTTGGCTTATGTCCACTACAGATACTGGTTCTAGGCCAGCCCAAGGATCTTCAAGCATTGAAGGCTTGAAATAACTTTCCAACTCATTAGACATTCTTTTTTCTCTACCACGCCCTGATCCAAATGGTGTGGATGTCCTTGGAGAACCCTTTAGGAAAAAAATCATCAGTTAAAATAATAAAAAAAAAAACATTTAGTAGAGGTAACTGGTAGTTTTTTTTTTTTTTTAAAGGCTAATGGGGATCACATTGCTGGTTAAAAGCTGTCATATGAAACCAGGTATGTTCAATTGCTAAGTCCAAGTTTCCTTTAATCTAGTTTGTGTTAAAGGTATTTAAAAAAGTTTAGCATACTTATTTAATAATAATTCCATGCCCACTGTCCCCTCAACTACTTTTTTGAGTTGCCAATGTAATAAATCTGCTATTATTGAAGACTAATGGTGATGAAATCAAGTACAAGCCGTGACAAAATACTTTTTTTTTCCTGGAGGAAAATTAAAACTTTTTTTTTTTTAACCCTATACAGAACTTCTAAAACCTTTCTCATAGAAATTTACAACTCATTAGCTCCAGGCTCAAAGGGGTGTGGTTGGTTTAGCATATACAAAGTTGGAAAACACTGAGCAGAGACAAGCCGAAGAAATCCTAGACACAATACTCCGTCTTGTATTCACTGAGAGAAAAGGGAACTTCCACTATTACCGACCTTCTCTTGAGAGAACTTGGCCCAGAAGACAATGAAGCTCAAAAAGAGAGTTTAAAGAAAAAAGAAAGAAAAAAAAAGTTGACAGTTGCAGGAAGATGGCAATAGCCTATAACCTAGAAAAGTTATATACTGGGATTCTTTCACTTTTCCCTCCCTCAGAGCCCAGTTGCTCAAAATACTTAACTGAAAACGAACTGGTAAGGCCCACAGCAAATAAGAGATAACGGAGAATTAGGGAAATCTGTGTATGAGTGGCAGCCTACTCGTTAAAAGCACAAAGGCTCTAGAGCAGAACTACAGCTCTACCATTTTTAGAATAATCTTAAAATACTTCTCTAAGCCTCAATTTACTCATCTGCAAAACAGGGCTAACAACAGTTATCTCACCTCACAGAGGATTAAACAAAATAATCCACACAAAGGGAATATTAGCACCATGCCTGCCATTCAGTAAGAGCTCGGCAAACGCTGGCTATTATTACCTGGGGGTGGGTCTGCTGCTGCCCCGGGGAGTAGCCGAATTGCTGCTGGGACCCCGCGGGGGACTTGGAGTAGGAGCCAGGGTAGCCGCCAGGAGACGGTGACCCGAACCGGCCCCCCGAGAAGCTGCCGCCGTGTCGCGGAGAGTGGGTGCTTCCGTAGGGCCTAGACCGGTGCCCGTAAGGCGGCGTGTTGTGCGGGCTCCCGTACCCGTCCCGAGGGGAGGGCGGCCGTGGTCCGCCCCCGCCCGGGGTACCCCGGAAGCCGCTCCCGCCACCCCAACCTCCTACACCCGGGGCTGGGTAAGGAGGGGTCGGGGGTCGAAAATTCGGACGATGCATTTCAGGAACCAAAGCCGAAGTCCTCACTGCCGCGTTCTCTCACCGGAACTGTGCCGACCAACCCGCCACAGATAACTGGTTGTCCTTTGCCAAAGCAGTCCTCCAGCCGCCCGCGCCCTACTGCGCTTGGGTTCCGACGTCATAAAGGTTCCGCAAGGAGCGGCAACATAAATAGGTTACTGCACAGTGGGGAGACTGAGTAGATTTAAGTGAAGGAAAAATGATGAAGGAAAAACGGAACACCCAGCCAAGCAAGCACTCTTCCAGGGTGGCGGTCTTCAGGCCGACCTACAGGGAAGTAGTCCGCTTGGCTGAGGGAGCGACTTGGGTCGCACTCTGACCCGCCCTACTGGGGCGGGGCCTGGCGTGTCCGCGGGCGCCCCCAGTGGCTGCGGGTGGTGCGGGCCTGGCTCACACCCGGACTCGAGACGTCTGAGAGCAGCGCGATGCAGGCGACGCTTGCGAGGTTGGCGGCTCTGCGGAGAATCGGTCTCCCCTCCGGCCGGGTCGGCGGGAGGGGGCTGTGGACAGGCCGCCCGCAGTCAGGTACCTTCTAAGACTCCGACCGGGCGGCAAAAGGTACCCAGCCCCAGGTTTCTACCGCGGGGTGTCTGCGGAGAGCGCCCCCGTCCAGCCCTCTGGCCTTTCTCGCCTCCGGGCGTCCTGGCTTGGTGGTTTGGCAGTCGTCTTCGCCAGCTGTCGGGGCTCCGCGGGTCCTCGGGTCGCCCTGCTTGGTAGCCACGTTCCAATCCCCGACTCCGACCTAAGGGCTCGCCACTGTGGGCGCGTTCCCTGCTCGGTCACACTTGGCGCTCGCCTTGATGCTTTCCTTTACTCCTGCCTTGCCCCCAAGTTTAAATACTTAAAAAGTATACATTATTATTATTATTTTTAAAAGTACGCCTAACGCTTAGCTGCATTTCAGAAAGCAGCTCTCTGCTTTGAATAACTTGAGAAGCTGAAGTAAAACAAATGAACAAATGCTGGACTTCACCCTCTTCGTTTCAGTTCTCTCTAAATGGGAGATAGTCAGGGAGAAGGTTAGGAAGTAGAGAGACTAATTTTCAAAAAGAGCAAAATGTGGCCAAAGCTCTTAAAATCTTGATTGTTTTATAAAGTTGTGTTAGGAAAAAAAGTGTAATATTTAAGAATGACACTTCATGTATAATAAACACGACTTTGTATCAGATGTCTGTTTCAGAATCTTATTTAGAGGATGAAATTTAGGTTTACTACTGTATTATAAACCTTTCTTTACTACCTCAGAATGTTGTAATAGGGATCCACTATGAATTTTGAAATCTTAACCTTTTTTTTTTTTTAAAGAGAGAGAGAGAGAGAGAATTTCTTAAATATTTATTTTGTTTTAGTTATCGGCCAACACAACATCTTTGTTTATATGTGGTGCTGAGGATCGAACCTGGGCCGCACACATGCCAGGCGAGCGCGCTACCGCCTGAGCCACATCCCCAGGCCAAAGCTTAACCTTAAGACTCATTAAATCACAGCCTGATGAGTAGCTGGGACCCATGCTTTTCATTGCTCTTCATTCTGTCTCTTTGACATGTTCTGTGACATGCCATGTTGAAGAGCGTGATGTCTTCTAGGCTTCCATCCTCCTTGATAAACGGAGATTTAAACACAGACTTTTCGTTTTTGGTGGTTTATTCTGGGCAAATTCCATGGTTCACCCATATTTCTTTTCTCCTGTAGACATAAATTGTAGAGTCATTTAAGGTAAGAAAATGCCATCAAGGCTTAGTGATGGAATTAAGGCTTGAGGACTCCAGTTTATCCACAATATTATAGTCCTGTCCTGGCTAAAAATCCTTTTTTTTCCAACCATCGTGCTTAACTTATTGTCCTGTACTTGAACACTCAGATCTTTATTGAATAAAAGCTGGGGATGGCAGAGGCCTTCCTTAGTGTGGGCAAAACCCCGGATTCAATTCCCAGTACTGCAAGAAAAATAAAATGCTGCCTTCCCCCCAAGTTTAAATACTTAAAAAGTGTACATTATTAAAAAAAAAAAGTACTTATTTACTGAATGAATAAGTCACATACATCGTGTAGATCAGTGATTCTCATCTTTTATGTCATCAGTCTACATTATGGAGTGGGCAGAGAAGTGAAGGTAGTGAGGGAGTGGAGATCAGAATTACCTTTTTTTTTTAATAACTGTCAAGTGATATAAACAATTTGGTCTCAACTTTGTTAGTAAGGTAATATAAGTAATTTTTTAAAAAACTTGGCTTATGCTTCAGAATGTTTTTATCTTTTACACATATGAACTTGCATTGGAAATGGGAGAGGGTTGTAGTTGTAGTTCAGTGTTAGAGTACTTGCCTGTCATGTGTGAGTCATTGGGTTCAATTCTCAGCACTACATATAAATAAATAAAAATAAAGGTCCATCAACAACTAAAAAAATTTTTAAAAAAGATTGTGTGGGGAAGAAATATAGTGGAAAATTTTGACAGGTAGGTTATGCATGACTGTTTGCCTCTCAGCACATTTACAAGTATATATGAGGACTGAGGGAGAATGAATCCTTAGTAATTATATGAAACTCCAGATCCAGTTGGTACTCTTCTGAGACTAGGCTACTTTCTTCTTTACAGATAAGAAATTGTCCAAGAGAAGTTAAAATGACTTGCCTAAGTTCACAAAGCAAGCAGAAGTAGCACTAGAACTGAAGTTCTGAGAATTTCAGGCAAATTTGCCTCCTAAGAAATATAAATTGATAAACATTGCATCCTTTGAAAAATGCAGTAGGTAAAGAAGCATGTAGAATTTTGAAAGTGGAACTACTGTGCGGCTTTAGATTTAGAGATTAGTAGATGTAACCTTAACTATTGAATCTTTATAAGTATAGCCAGGGTGTTGTCATGTTTTTACCAAGGAGTTAAAGTCTACATGTCTGAGCTGGTGGGCGTCAGTTCCCCCAGCATTTATTTGTATTGAATTTCTTTGTGTGGAGGTGAGCTTAGGGGAAGAGAGATGAAAGGGAAGGGAGGAAGGATCAGTGACTAGGTGCTGTCTTCAAATGGCATTGTGTACAGAGGGATCAGTAGGTAGAAGAACCTCAAGAACTTTCTGAACTTCTGCCTGAAGAACCCCCAGAAATAATTGGTTAACTTAGTGGTGGTGATGTGTTTTAGAAGTACTTCATTAAAATATGAATACCAAGACAAGGAAATTTAAGTATAAATATAAATGGGCTCTTGTCTGTTTTTATAAAGCTGTGGATCTTTATATCTAAGTTTTTTTGTGTGTTCATTTTTCAGTGGGTTTCAAAATTTGTTTTTTTCTTCATAGAGCTTTATCTTTTTAAAAAATATATAGTTTTAGTTGTTGATGGGCCTTTATTTTATTTGTTTAAATGCAGTGCTGAGAATCAAACCCGTGCCTCACACATGCTAGTCAAGTGCTCTACCACTGAGCTATAACACCAGCCCATAGAACTTTATCTTGAACAAAAAAAAAAAAAAACAAAAAACTTGGAAGCAAAAGAGCTATTTGTAAAGCAGGAATTAGGGTCCCAGAGCCCTGCTTACTCTATACCCCTACATTTACTATCCTCTGCCTTCCACTATTACCAAAGAGGCTCTGGGGCCCCTCTGAAGAATTCCTAGAGCTCTGCAGAAAGGGTTTGAACACCACAATCTTAAGTAGGTGTCAGGTATTAACCAGTGCCTCAAATACCTATACTTTGATTAGTTTTTACTAAGTAATATGGAGAAATAAATATTTCCGTATTTCTTCATTGTCAGGGCTTTCTAAATTAAGAAAACTGGAACCTGGGTTAAAGGATAAGCTGTGGAAGTTAAAAGATGACTGAGTAGCTAGTTGAAGAAATTCTAGGAGGTATATGTTTATATTTTAAAAGATATGAAATCCAGAGCCTTGGAGACAATGCCAAGACTGTAAATCCAGTATGCTTGTTTTATATTCCCCCTGGAGACATTTATTTATATTCAAAGGGTTAAGAACCCAAGGGCTTTCTTTTCTTCCTGAGCAGAATTTGTTTACCTTAGGTAGATTTAGCCCTCTCCTTTGTAAGGTAACAGTGGCAGTTAGATAATTATCCTGTACAAACTCCCAGATTTACAATTTTGGCATTCCTTTCCTGTGGTTCTGTCCTTCCAATGTGCAGGCCTAACCAAGGTGTTCTCATTCCATCATCATGAGGTATTAGGTGTGGGGAAATGGTGCATTTCTTGATGTAAGGCATAATAATTCTCATCTGTGCTGCAGAAACCTTGTGTTTACTTTCATCTTGTAAATAAATGCAGAGATTAAAATTTATCATGTATTTTTGATGAACACTTCTCAGCATGTACTTACTTTCTTAGAAATTATTATGTGTACACTTAGAGCATGATTTTTTTTTTTGGCTACTAGGGGATTAAACTCAGGGACACTCAACCACTGAGCCCACATCCCCAGACTTTTTTTTTTTTTTTGTATTTTATTTAGAGAAAGGATCTCACTGAGTTGCTTAGAAGCCTCATGTTGTTGAGGATGGCTTTGAACTTTCGATCCTCCTGCCTCAGCCTCCTGAGCCGCTGGGATAGAGCATAATCTTTTTTAAAGAGCATAATCTTTAATATTTCATGAAACTTCCCGATTATCTCTTTTCCTTATAGAGCTGCCTCTTGTCAGCTGTGTCATGTTAAGGTCTTCTAGTAGTGGAAAAGTAAATGCCTCTCTAGGATGTAAATAGCTCATTCACTGATGTGGTTAGGGCTGCTTTGACCATAATAGATCACTTAACTCTCACTTAATATTCTTATTGAAAAAGAAAAATTAAAAGTGACTTGTTTTCAAGAGTCTCTAAGAGTCAAATTCCACTGCTTCATTAAAATTTAATCTTGGGCTGGGGTTGTGGTTCAGCGGTAGAGCGTTTGCCTAGCGCGGGCGAGACCCTGGGTTCAATCCTCAGCACTACATAAAAACAAATAAAATAAAGGTATTGTGTCCAACTGCAACTAATATATATATATATATATATATATATATATATATATAAATTAATTTTTTTATTTCTAAGTATGCATAGTGGCCAAGCATAGGTGAAATGTTTTATACAATTTATTTCTTTGTAGACTAATATATTTCACCCAGGTATAGCACAGATATTAGTGTATTAAATCATACTTATAAAAAGTTTTAATTGAAAATAATAAAACTGCTGACAGAATACTCCTTCATAAAAAAAAATAAGAGCATATGAATATTGTTTTTCAGACACAGACACTAGAGGTTTGTTTTAAAATGAGTAAATAAAATTTTAATATCATTAGAATCTTCGTTTTTTGTATTTTTCCAGTTAAAAAAAATGCACAGTTGCCATGATTTGAGTGTCCTTTCCAAAACTCATGTGGAAATTTAATTGCCACTGTAACAGTATTGGAAGGTGGGGCCCTTTAAGGGACCTTTAGTTCATGAGGGCTCAGCTCTCATGATGCATTAGGGAGTAGGTTAGTTATTACAGGAGTGGGTTATTAGAAAAGTGAACTCAGCTTCCTTTGCTTTCTCTTGTTT